GTTTCTCATTGTCTGATTGTGATTTAACGTCCTAGATAAGGGGCTAGAGAGAAAACATGCTGAGAGGAAAACCTAAGTACCTGGTTTCTTTGCCAATGTTTTTCCCTTACTGTAAGCTAATAACTTGGCATTTTTCTTAATATATCAGGCTTTGTACTCTTGAAGAGTGTGAATCTACTTGTGATAAACTGATCTACCCTGGGTGAATAACACTAGTTTTTAAGGCTGAGAGGACCAGCCTCTAAATGTTGAATTCACCAAAATAAATTCTGCCCTGCAGGGACTTGCCTGAGCTGCCAGTCAGTCTTCCTCAGGGAACTATTCCTTTGAGGTTTTACAAAATCAAATTTTAATGATGCTGCTGGATAGAAATCTTATTTTAGGGAAAGTTTTGCATATTCATACATGTCTTGTAACTAGGAGGATAGTAAGGACAGAGTGAATATGGCCTTAACTCCAGGTTAGGCATGCTGATGATTAGATTTTGGAGAAAAGCCTTTAGGATAACTAGTATGAATGCCTACTGTGTATAAGCACTATCATGTTTGCAAAGAGATACTCCTTAAGGAGGTTAAAAAAATGTCATATACTCAGGAGACATTTAAGTGATGGAAAAACAGTACGTGGTTAGGGAGTTATAATGAATTGAGTATTTTCAGCTTTAGGTTCTGAAGTAAATTGGAATATGGAGTGATGTGAACCAAAATAGGGGGAATCTTCTTAGCATTTATCCTAAGCAGATTTGTATAACTTTTAACATTTGTTCTACCCTCTGAAAACCATGAGTGCAGAAGCTATGTCACATTCACTATGTCTCTATAGTGTTTAAATGTAGTACTCGTCATAGTTATTTTCCATAAAGTTTTGTTGACTAAATGGATCTTAAAAGTTTTTTTTTTGAGACGGAGTCTCTCTCTGTCGCCCAGGCTGGAGTGCAGTGGCCGGATCTCAGCTCACTGCAAGCTCCGCCTCCCGAGTTTACGCCATTCTCCTGCCTCAGCCTCCCCAGTAGCTGGGACTACAGATGCCCGCCACCTCGCCCGGCTAATTTTTTGTATTTTTAGTAGAGACGGGGT